GATCTCTCCCCAGCTTCGGGGCTGGGAATGAAAGCGGCAGGAGGGGGGGAAAAGGGGAAAAGGAAAAATCTACACGTGGAAAACACACGTCCCTACGGCCGGGACTTAAAGCAACAGGAAAGTGCCGGGCGGCACAAGGGCAGCTCCAGGGACAGGGGAGTGGCAGGGGTTGGGTTGTCCGCTCTGGCTTTTGGGGTGCTGCCTCAGTTTCCCCAGGGTGGAAGATGGAGGGAAGGATGCTGGGATGCTTTTTCCCAGTCCCATTTCTGCCCCAAAATATCCCCCTATGGATGCCAGGCTGGGGTCGTGGAGCTGGAAGAAGGTGGGAGGGGGGATTCAGGGGGTCCCCGGGGAGGACGAGGAGGCGAGGCCCCGGTGCTCTGTTTGCACAGGCCTGCCAGTTGGTGATGCGGAGGAGCGAGCCAAGGCGATTGCCCCAGTGTGGTGATACATTTGGGGTTTGCATGGGCCAGATCCAGCTCGCAGCAGGGTTGGGGACCCCCCGGATTTGCTCTTCAGGTCCCTCCTTTTTGTTTAATATTTCCAGCCCCAAGTTACCAACTGATGTCTGCTTTTATTCCGCCCTGGAGTTTGCTAAAAACGTTTTGTGCAGGATCCATCCTCATGTGGTCTACAATATCAAGGGAAAAAAAAAAACAACAAATTGTCACACAGAGATAAATTCTGGGGGAAAGCTCAATTTTTTGGCACAGTTTCCCATTTGAAACCTATTGAAAGCTTTTGTGAGGGAGTGAAGGTTCTCATCCAGGCCCTCACCCTGCTATCAGGCCTCCGTGTGGGACAGTCACTGGTGTGCATTTGAGTCTCTTTGGGGGAAAACGGGATCCTTCTGAGCAGTGGCACGGGGCAGGATTGCATTGCGTTGCCCCATCGATGCTTTCCCCAAGCCCGACCCCTATTTCGAGGCCATTGTATAACACCAAACCCCGCAGGATTCAACCCAAATATTGAAGCTGTGCGTGGTGCCAGGGTTTTAAAAAGTGTAAAAAAGCGAAATTTCAGGGGTTTTTATCCCGAGTGGATGCATCCTGCGTGCAGCCAGCACCCTGCAGCCCTTCCTCCCGGCTGCTGGAGGGCAGGATCGGTGCCGGAGGCGGTTCCTAGGACCCGGCGGCGCCGCTCCCCCGC